TTTCAGAAACCTTCCATGGGATTTTATTTTCAATAAAGCATTACTCCCTTGTTAGTCAAAAGTATATATTTATTTCCTATTTTATACTTAGTCTTTAGGTATTGATACTTTTATTTGAATAGATTATTGAATAGTATTTAATTATTCTAGTTTATTATTATTATTATTTTTTTAACCTCATTCTTAATTTTTTATTTTTTTTTAAATACTAATATTTTCTAACTAAAACAAATACTACGTTATAATGTTTAAATAACTGATACTTTTACAACATTTTTATGTACTTGTAACAGTCATAGGAATGGAAATGGGATGGGCTGGGATGGGGTAGAGTGGACCCCATGTCCCTACCTCAAAGAGGATTTTTGGGACAGTGGGGATGGGACACAGAAAGGCCAAGATGATGATTAAAATATTTTTGTAGGGATGACCATTTTTCTCATATCGACCCGCTGCGCACTCTGCCACCTATTGGAATGTGTTTATTTTTGTAAGGATGACCATTTTTCTCATATTGACCCGCTACGCACTCTGCCACCTATTGAAATATGTTTATTTTATCTTTAGTAGTTGGCATAATTCCCTTTCATTTGGTGCAAAACCACCCCTTGATGGCTCAAATTTTGTGGAACACAACATTTTCTTTGCGGAATACAATGTTTCTTCCATTTTCTCAATAAAGTTGTGCAATGACGAATTTGTCCTCAAATAAAACAAAGAAAAATAGAAAAAAAAAATTAATTGCAACCATAAGACTTCCATCAAGAATCAGCAGTACAAACTAATAATAGTACGTCGTCTTTTATACTGTTACTGAGAATCAAGAATTACAATGTATTTGCATTGAGAGATCCATAAGACCAATATCACAAATAATAGGAATGGTTTTAAAGATTATAACAACTCAACGAATGAATCTTATGATAACAACAATCCTCAAACAAGCCCCAAGGTACACGACAAAGTTTTAGTTATAACCTTTACTACTTTTTCTTGTCATACGCAGCTATGTTTTGCGGTTCACATTCAGGACTAAACAGGCGAACCAGTAAAGCCGTGGTTGCGCTAGTCGAGACAGCACCACAAGTAGCCCACCTAAGACTTCGAGGAACTGTGATTCTGGGACCTGCAAACCATCAAGACCAGATGATCAAACTTCTGTGGAGTGTAAAGGAAGAAGAAATCAATCCTTGAAATATTAATGCATTCAGCCATATATTTTACGTTCAAAATGAAAAATAAAAGGTTGACAAAGAATCTTAAGCAAGAATCTGGGCATGTTTTGCACTTTTGAACAGTTATATTTATTTGTTTAATCTCTTTAGATATTTTAGCAGGAGATTAATATTTGGTTGGTTAGTTGACTTTGTTCATGCATGGGATACTGCTGCAAGAAAAAGTTCTACTCCTACTAAAATATTCTCAGAATCTAAAAGCAATACTTCACAATCCTAAATCATGATTGAACCAGTCTGCAGAGAGACTCATCACTGCCAAAGTTACATAGATAATGCACCGTTTAATTTCACTTCAGGTTACTATCATTTGTGAATAGGGGTAATAAAATTTCGTCTTGGTATATGCAAGATCTTCTTTTGAATGTAGATGAAGTTTCAAATGCTCAGGCATTGGAGTAAAATAATATAGACCTGCCATTTCCATAACTATTTTTTGGATGGTTTGTTGCACGTATGCCGATCCATTGAGGTTCTAACCTAAAGAGGAAAAAACAAATCAACCATAAGAAATTAGTGTCATCGTAGTAAAGAAAGGGAAGCTTCTATACCATTTTATCACATGATAAATTGTCCATTGCTAGAGAAACTTTTTTGGAAGGGTCCATTGCTAGAGAAACCTATATTCCAAATTGATAAAATCATGCCATTTCTTTATAAACAGAAACGCATCACATTAGTATCTTTATAAACTTTGATACCCTGTATTGATCAAGCTAAAATCTACCATTTATAAACTTGTTCTCACTAGTGTGTTCAATTGGAAGCTCATTAATGTATGTTAAATTTCTGCTAACCAAAGGTTTTTGCAATAAGAATATTAAAAGAAATGAAGAAAATTACAAACAGGAAAATAGAATTGGTACTCGATCTTTCTCCTAACTGTGTGCAGAATTCAAGAAACAAGCACAGTAGAAGGGCACGAATGAGGGCAGAACAAGGAAAGTTTGAGAGGTGGCAATACAAAAACATACCGTAATGCAAGCGGCAGAGGATCCAAAATCCTAATGCCCCTCCAACGCTAAAAATGCCGGCAGTTTGCCTCATCAATCTGGAGCAAGGTTTTGCATCTGACCTCATAAGTTCCCCATCCGAAAATCCAAGCACGCGCCTTAATGCCATTTTGCTGTCCCCTTCTAAATATTCAATTTTTCCCATTAAAGCCACTTCAAAGGCTTAGAAGATTAATAGTAAAAGAGGTACTCTAAATTTGCTAAACATCACACATAAGGATGAAGTTCAAAAAGAGAAGGCCAAATTTAAATACAAAACCCTTTTTTTACTTTTAAGATAAAATAGCGGCTGTATAACAATAACCTTCAATACCTTTTTGGTTCTGATATGTTAGGAGTATAATGGTTATTGGCTTAATTAATTTTTGATCAATCCATAGTTAGTCATTGTAATTATGGAACATACTATTATTATTATTTTTTTTTTCATTTTGTACGCATCACCGAATTTGTATTTTGGATTGCGGCATTCTGTTACGCCAGCTGGTGCCTTCCTAGAGGTTTGTTGATTTGTTTTGTAGTATATATTTCTGTACAGCAGAATAAAAAGATAACAACTTGAGGCACCAATTTCATCTAGGTGGGAGGTCAGTCATATTGTGCAGAAATGTTATCACTCTTTGACCCAAACTTCTCTGGTTTCAGCAACAATACCAACCTTCAGTTCAGACCCTCCAAGGAGCCAAGGATGCTGACCAAATGACAACAGTGCTAACAAAAATTGTCATGCGTAATGGTACACGTCTAAATATATCCCATGTTGGCTCTACTTCATTCGTTAGCCTAATTCACCTAGAGTTTGCACATGGCCTTCTCCAGAGGTTGGGAGGTGGGCACGAGCAATTGATAATCAAGTCAATCAACTCTAGATATTTTTGGGGGTGGGATGAACAGTGAACAAGAGCTACAAGAATGTGTATAATAGTGGGGTTGAAGAAAGAATACCAAGCAAAATCACCATTGAGAGTGTAAAATTGAATTACTTGTGAATAACATGAAGTGTGATTTTTTATGATGGAAGAGGTGAGGTGGTTACTGTTGGATGAGAGCACGTGACCTCATCTTAACAGTTGACTCTCATAAGCGTCACCTCTATCTTAGATAAGGCGGCATGAATGATTATTAAAAGTGGTCATCGTATAATCTAGTCCTGATATTTGAAAAGTAGACTGAAAAATTAATTGAGAGGCACTTGCAGCAGATCGTAGCACCTCGCCTCGCATATAGAGGTTCAGCATCTACTTGTCACTTTGATTAAGGTGATGCCAACACTTCGACTTCCTTTATTTGATGACCCTAGGTAGCTTTTCACTATTTTCCTAGTTGATTGTCATGTGGCCAATTGTAGGAGCCTCGGAAGGGGGGTGGGTATGGTGGGTCAAGTAACCTGCTAACATTTTTTTTTTAAAAGATATTGAGAGTTGAGATTTAAGTATTCCACCATTTCTTGACTAAACTTAAAAATTACTCGATAACTTGTTCAAAATATAAGCTAAGACATATTTTCCAAGTGATCCACTTTAGCCAAATATAAACTTGTCAACTATCATATTGAACCCCCGTTTGGTAATAATTTTTTACCAAAAAAAATTGATTTTTTGACCGTTATTTCTTTATTCTAGTCGTCATTTTTGACTTTATCACTCACAAGTGAGACTTACTTTTCTCTCTAACGGTCAAAAAATCAATTCTCATAATCACTACCGAGCAGACCCCGAGTCTCATCTAACTTAACAAATTTTATTTTGATATATCCATAAACAACTATAATATGCCTATGTTTGTCCAATAGTGTCTGACGCAACACCCCTTATAGTTCAAAATATTGCCTTCACCTAAAATTCTAGATAATTTAGGTGTATATTCTCTTTGATTTTTGTATTCTTGCATTCCACTAAATTCTTTTCAATCCAAGTAAAGATTCTAATAAAGACATCTTACTAAGAGAATCCTTAGCTTAGCTTAGTTGAATCTTCATTGTTTTAGTATGGTATTATTATAGGACAATCGATTGAAGAACCGAATTTGCCTAAAAATCTGTAAAGCATACTTACCATTCTTAAAAAGACAACTTTCATCGTCTACCAATTTATAAAAGGAAAAACCGTTTGCTCAGCATAATCCATGCCATTGCCTTAGTTCAAACTCAAGACAGCTCTGTTATGTATTCAACAAAAATTTGATTTGTGTTGTAGATCAGTGACTAAACAAGGAAAAAGAAACAGAAGAAGTTGGTCAGCTTAAGTTATTGTGTCTTTGAAAATTGAAAGGAAACCAATAGCTGACGGGTAACTCATAAATTCGAATTATTATTTTCTTTAACCAAAGTTCAAAGTCATAGAGAAAATGGATTTGAATTACATTTATAGTTTGTTTTCATTGTGTTAAATTGATTTGGAATGGTTTGGAATAATTTGTGTATTTCACAATTTTTTTGCAAATTTGATTATACACCCTAACTCAAAATGTTTGCGACTGCCACTGGATGATTTATAACAAGTCTAGTGATTTGGAGCTCAAAGAAACAGCTCAGTGTCTTGCGATCGAGCACCGAGGCACGATATTGTACTCTTGCCAATGCCACCTACGAGTTACTCTGGTTATAGTCTTTACATGTTTCACAATACTCAATCCAAAATTCATATAATATCGTGTGATAATTTGAGCATGCTAGCCCTCGGTGCTAACCCTGGCCTTGTACGAGGACACTCTCATATAGGGGCGGACTGAACCTTGGGGATAAAAATTTAAATAAGAGATATAAATCGAGGGGGTAAGGGGGAATGGACTTTAAAGGCTGTAAGAGAAGTGAGCGAAAATGCTGAGTAATCATTTTCTTATTCTTGTTTCTTTCACTAAATCTATCTGTATCTCTATTTCTATCCGTGCCCTTTTTTTAACTCTTGCGACTTTATATCTTTTATTAATAGGTCCAATTCATTCAGCCTTTAAAATCTCTAGCTGCCCATGGCTATTGGCTACTTCTTGCTCCTAGTGTGATAGCGAAAGTGTTTCACAGAGTTTACCCTCCCACTTTACCTTATCCTGGCAAGTTGCCACTGAACTAAATAATTTCATCTAAAATTTTGAATAAAGTTTGTGCTATGAGCTCATAGGAATTTTAAAGGGCCCAAATTTCAAATTCTTCTTACGCTTCAAAAGCTCAAAGTTCGACGTTAATTAAATTTCGCCCGCACTAAAAAATATTCTTGGCTCCGCCCCTCCTCTCATACATATAACATATAAAGAATGAATAAGAAATGGTTAAAAAAAAATAACTTAAAATTAAGCTGATCCATAGTGGCAATTAAGGATAATAAAACTTTGCTGTGCATGCACGGGACAAGACTCAAATTTCAGTGTAAGCAATGCATCAGCCCTTTTTTTTAATTAAATTGAATTCCAAAGCCCAAAATAGCATGGCCTTGGAGCTTTTAGGATGATGTTTTAGTACTTTACTATAGAAGCTTAACAGAGACATTTCATCAAACGCGCGCACTGCAAAGTATGAAGAAACGGAAAACCAATTCCAGAACAAGTATGCGAAATCCTTACCAGAAATTCTTGTCTGCTTTGATCTTCGACGGGTTTTTGAGATGATTTCTTAACACCGCGAAAATGAGTAATTTTAAAATTTTGATGGTGGAACGGAGATTTTGCGCTGAGGTCTCGTCGTTATGTCGGCCGTGCATAAGCCAATTTCTCACCTGACAGACAACGTAGGAATTTCTCGCTATAACTGGGCTACCGGAGTAAAACGAGCACCTTTATGTGGGCCACGTATAAGCCCAATTGTTGGGCTATCAATCATAGCCTTACAGATAAATGGGTCGGCCCATATGTTGGTCCAAATGCATATCAAACTGAACAAATTTAGGCTGGCCCATGGGGTGTCCATCAGAAAAAGTCCATAAAACATTAAGAGCGAGAGAGAGAGAGAATAAAAGAATTACAAAATAATACTCAAATCAAATAAAAAATACAAAAGTCTTTCACGAAATTTCTCGGTATCTTCTTCACTAATCCATATAAATTATTCAAATTTTTAATGCCTTTAGAAACTATCTTTCCCAGTAGCTCACGCGCCTGTACCCAAACATTCTTCACGTTCCACTATTTTTCAAACCTACCACCGATTTTAGGGAGTTAATTGTTTCAATGGTTATTGAACTTACGTTCGTGTGTTTGATTAGTCATTGAAATTTAAAATGTCGAGTTTTGATCATTGAACTTAGGTTCATATTTTTGATTGCTTACTAAAAATTGAAATATCAAGTTTTGACCATTAAACTTTAAAATATGTTGTACATTTCTCACCGAATTTTGAAAAATATTATACATTACTCACTGTAAATTCGATATTTTTAAAGTTAAATAGTTATATTAGTGAATAACGTACGACATATTTCAAAGTTCAGTAGTTAAAAAGTGATTTTTTAAATTTCAGTGAGCAATTTAAGATATGAATTTAAGTTTAGTGAGCAATCGAAAATATAGATCTAAATTTAATGACCAAAACTCTGACATTTTAAATTTTAGTAATCAATAAAAAATATGAACTTAAGTTCGATGATTATTGGAATAATTAACTTGATTTTAAAAACAGTATCCTCGAGAACATCTCCCCTTTATATTTGTCTAGTTATCGTGCGGAGTGTGAGTGTGACTCTCAATCTAAAATCTTCGATCATCTTTTTAGTCAACTTCCGAAGCAACAACTGAAGAGGAAGGTCTGATTCTTAATCTTTACGATCATCTGTATATTTAGATATACATATGTGAAACAGTTACTTGATCATCACTGTAAAAAAATCGATTGTCCCATAAGTTACAATCAATTTGATAGCAGATTTTTCTGGGGTTTAATGTTTTTTGTGTTTTTTCGCTGTGTTCAAGGGTATCAGCTCCTCTCTAACTGACACTTGCAGTCACATGTTTTCCTTCTTCAGATATATTATGTGTGTTCGTTTTTATTTAATGGTTTCTGTTTTCATTCTGGCTTTAGGCCTTTGACTCTGCACAAAGTTCTTAATCGAATTTTTTAAATGCGATTTTACCGGTTCTAATTTTATCTATGTTATATATAGTCTATTTTTGCAGTATGTTACTGGGTAATACATGTATATATTGAAGTGTCTCTGTGTCTGTCTTCAGAAACATGAAGATATATCTGATCTTCAACAGTTCATCTTGGGTTTTTTTTTTTTTTTTTTTTTTTTTTAATTTTTTGTTCATATACTAACAACTCACAACCTAATTCCCTTTTTGATTTTATATTTCAAGTATCATTTTTAGTTCAATCTTCTGATTTAGACCATCGGTGTATGAGGTTTTTGGATAAATCTCGAAAGGCTAAAGATGCCCAAAGGGTTTTTTCAGCTTTTTAATTTCTTTTCTTGTGGGGGTATGTATGATATTGGTTGTTGATTTATTGGCAAGAAAAGTGATGGAGTGGCAAGTTATAGGCTATTCCTGATTGTTGCATTGTTGGTTTAATTCTTAATTAGGTTTTGAGATTGATTGAATAAGAAGCACTTGTTTTGTATTAGTTTGACCTTACTGTTTGTTGAGAGTCTTGAATGAAAATATTTGATTTGATCTACGACAAGTTATTCAGTCCAAGGTTCCTTTTGAGAATTTGTGCTTGCTAGACTTCATTTTTATTAAAAGAGTGCACTAGGAATAGCTGTCAGGAACATTAAATGATTGTGCCATGTTGTTTTTCCACATTAATTTCATTGGAATTTCTCCTTCCTGTGTCTCGTTGAAGAAGACTCTGCATCCATTAAAAAAAGAGTTCTAATGGCACGTAGCTAAAGATTTCTCCATTTCTTAGTTGCTCGTTCAAAACAAGTGTGATGTTGGATTTTGACAGTATCACCTTCTAGTTTGTTTTGCTGGGACCATGCCTTATATATATCACCAAAATTTGAAATTGATTTTCATTTAATCATGTTTTATTGATTATCTGAACAGACAATTTTCAAAGATGAAGTACAACGATCTGTATGCAGCGTTCTGTTTGTTGGTGTTAATGTGCTCCCTACTTCCTTCTTCGGATGGCCTACGAAGAATTAACCTGAAAAAGAGACCTTTGGATCTTCTCAGCATTAAAGCTGCCAAACAAGCTAGATTGGAGGGGAAGTATGGAAAAGGTTTCAAGAATGCACAGCTCAAGCTAGGCGATTCAAATGGAGACATAGTAGATCTGAAGAATTATTTGGATGCTCAATATTATGGAGAAATTACTATTGGGTCACCCCCGCAGAACTTCACTGTGATATTTGATACTGGCAGTTCCAATTTATGGGTCCCGTCATCAAAATGTTATTTTTCTGTAAGTTTATTCTGAAATTAATTTCTTCCTTATTTTTTGGCTCAATATTTTGTACAGTTGATTAGTAAATTAAAATGCGTGCAGCTTGCCTGCTATTTCCATTCCAAGTACAAGGCTAGCAAGTCCAGTACATATACAAAGAATGGTATGTTGAGATATTTGCTTAATATATGTTATTTTCATGACTGTGGGGTATTAATAATGCTTTAACAATGTTGAGCTGCAAATCTTAAATTTTATATAACAAAAAACTGATTTTTTCCATGACTCAGGGAAGCCTTGTTCAATTCATTATGGCTCTGGATCGATTTCTGGACATTTTAGCCAAGACAATGTTGGAGTTGGTGATGTTGTGGTCAAAGATCAAGTTAGTTCTCTTTCTCTTAGGCTGATTCGTGTGTACTGTACTTCAAAATGATTGTAAACATTACAATTTCTTCTTCAGGTTTTTATTGAGGCTACAAAAGAGCCAAGCCTTACCTTTTTGATAGCCAAATTTGATGGAATAATTGGGCTTGGTTTCCAAGAAATTTCTGTTGGTGATCAAGTGCCAGTCTGGTATTCATTTGATTTGAGTGATTAAGTCATGTTCCTTGTTTCATCTTTTCTCATGACCCCCCCCCCCCCCCCCCTTTTCGC